CCATCCCGAAGATCCCAACCAGCCGGCAAGCAATCTACACCTCCCGACGTGGCTGGCTGGCTGACTGGAGTAAACTAACCGTATATGGATTTTATTGACTGACGGAGCCATGTTTCCGTTCGACCACCCCACGCTAACTCTTTTCCCACCTCATCGATCCGATATCAGCTAACACTGACTGCCAGTGGACGAAGGCGATCGATGCCTAAGCATGCATGAGCAACGCATATCCTGACCATCTCACTCAATCGATATAACTTCACAACCTCATCGATTGATTTTTCATCCCTCCTTACCAAGCACTCGACTGAAACCTAACCTCAATACTGCTCACCTTATTATAACACTTAACACTCGAGATAGACGCAGACAGTTATGATCAAAGACAGCTAACCGCTAGTCAGGGTTTTCATGTCTTCCACACTCAATAGCGGCTGTGCTTCAGTCATAGCCAGGAATAAAGGAGGACGTAGCGAACTGGTGCTGTGCAGTATACACCATATCAAGTCTACTAAGCTAGAGATGGCGTGAGTTGGCAAATGCCGTATGACCCAACTAAAGTGACCCTCAGGGAAAGAATAAACATCTAACAGTTTATATATATAAATAGAAGGCACCTATTCGTGTATATATTACAAGGGATGATGGATGATAAGAGGAAAAAAAATGTAAAACCTGCTGACAAAAACGACGACAACAACAAGAACCGTAAGAAAAAGATATTTAGAAAATAAAATAAACAACCAATGTACTTTGTTGATGAATGACCTTCATCCAATATATATATTCAAAAATAAATAAATAAATGGTTCAAGGAACATATATATAAGATGTACACACACATTGTAGATAAGATAACAACCATTCCATCATTTTATCTTTTGGACTACATTTTCTCTTTCAGAAAACACGACAAATAAACTTTATTATTGCTTAAATATACACGTGTATATGTGCATATATATATATATATATATATATATATATATATATATGCATCCATCGAATGAAGAAAATGAACACCATTCAAAGAATTCTACACAAAAGAGAAGGTGACTTAAAGACATGCAGTTACGCCCAAAAAATTCTCAGATCTCATATACAATATATATGATATACATATATGCGCATTGACTAGTCGTCTTATGTGTGGTATAGAGAGAGCTGTTGACTTTGATTACTCCGTGTTCCCATATTCATTTAGAAGAATAAACAGATATTGATGAGTACGCCATCATAATGATTCTCGTCTTGTGTAAGTGGGTGATCGCGCCACTCTTGCAAAGAATTCAGTAATCAATGGACGAATGAATGAATGAATGGAACTACATATGCACACACGCACATACACACACAATCTGATAACTGACAATAGGCCAACGGAAATATAATATTGATCGCAGTTTATATCGTTGATAGGTAACTAACTAACTAACTCTCTCAACTTTGAATCTCTAATCACAGGAAATAAGTCTCGCATAAATGAATGAAGCAATCTTTGTATAACACAACTCAAAGCATAAAGCCAAAACAATAATAATAATGATAACACGATCATCGTTTTAATGTGTCACTACTGTGAATTATAAACACTATCAATATGTTACAGGATTTTCATCATCAGCTGACAGTAGTTAGAGAACCATTGGAAAACCTGGGAGTACTGGACAGCTGTTTCGTCCTACTTTGGGACTCTTCAGCAGTACGCACCCACCCACCGGGATTCGAGCCCAGGACCTTCTGGTTTACAAGGCGAGCCCGTATACCATTAAGCCACTGGGATCCGATCCAATGGCCCATGAATTCTAACTTCTGCCAATTCACGACATAGCGCGACCGCTAGCCAATGTCTTCGGCGAGTATTTGTCCTCACACCCGACCTGCTGCACCCTACTGGTCATGACTATGAATATGCTTTAATATAGCCGTATTTGAACAGTTGGGGGCATTGATCTTGTGATCTGTTACATCAGCTGACCAACAACACTCTTACTTGAACATTTGTTGTCAAGGTATAGCGTTAACAACACATGAAAATAGCAGTTGTGTATCGTGTAGCTCATTTGATAGATGCACTAGACTAATCATTCAAAGTCTCCCCCTAGCTCGAGTCCCGTGCGACTGACCCACCCTTCAATAATTAACCACCATGTCACACTGGGACCAATACCCCACTTGTCGTTACATATTCGGGTACCATTCAAGCTATGGTTTGCATGGCGTGCGACGTCATTCGACGGTCTCCTCAGAGCGTGCCCAACCTATTTCCCCTTTCTTCAGAATATTTATTGAGCAATAGCTCCTTGGCCAGTATGTTCCCATAGTTTGTTGTTGCTAATTCTTTCTGGCCTGCCTGTCACCCATCTGATCTTTAATATGGAGCCAGTGAAGGTGTCAGTTGTTGACAAAAATCTGCAGTGACCTGTTGGAAATACTTTTCGTGACGCGTTGGCCAGTCTCTGACTGACTTAACATTTGTGTTGAAAATATGAATCTTGTTCTTTATGCTGAGTACAGTGTAGAAGATTTCCAAAATGATATCAGAGTGATGAAGCTGTAGCTTGATGGAATAGTCAGGTTGTCTGAGACACAGAGAGAGGGAGACTTGGTATGGCAGACTTTCTTAGTTGCTGATTAAAGGTGAAATCGAAATCTGAATTTTTGAAAAAACTGGCCTCTAACACAGAGGAGCTGCGAGAATCCAGTGACTGCTAGTCAAGTAATCATTTCACTTATGGTACCATATGCCGTAGCAACAGTTGGGACATTGTTGAGATGTGCCCATAAACAATTATCACCAAAAGGAGGATGTAGAACAGTCAACAGATCAATTTTAGAGTATATTATTACTTCTGGTCAAGTGCAGCATCAGCAGAGAGACTTCTTTGAGAATCATAGGCAAATGACGGCCAAATTGTTAAAAAAGATTTCGCTTACACCTTCTTCATGCAGCTGAAGCCTTAGCAATCCTTAGGGAGAACCTTGGACTTTGGGTTCAGAAAAGTTTTATCCAACCTCTATTTTACTGCCATGGCCTCAGTACTGATTTTTTGTTTCTTCTTTCTGTGTTGTTTTCCTGAATAACCAAATGCATCATGAACTCGATGTAGTCTGTTTTATGTGTTTTGTCTTTTTGCAACTCATTTCCAATCTTTTGTTCCCTTTTCTCTTATCAACTATTGCCAAACAATGACTCATCTTGTCAATCCTCTTGATTATGTAAGACTATTGTCCATTTCCCAAGCATAATTATTACTCAGGCACTTTGATTTGCTTTGTTACCAACTAACACTTGACAATAGCCTTTGACCTCTGTTGTCAATCTACATTGCATATTTATATAAACCCCCTAAATAACTGTACAGCTATGAAGTGTGAAGCTATGAAAAGAGGGGAATCCCTTTGCTAACTCATGTGTTCTTAATTAAGATGAATAAATTTCACATGCCATTTGCCATGTATGGTGTTATAAGTGAAATCAACTGATAGATTTAAAAATAATTCTGTGCAACTCAACAATTACTGTGAAATAATTTGATGGATGGTGACTGGCAAGTAGAATCCAGGACAACGCCCATTTGGTCCCATTTGGAACTAACTGACTTATCACCTAATGGGTTTACCTGCATTGCTCCATGTGTGATAGGGATGTTTGAAACTATGGGTACTGGGGGTCGAGCATCAGTGGGGAGGGGCACACCATCACTCAATCACTCACTGACTCACTGGGATATGCAGGTACATCCACCAGCTGACAAGTGACTCTCAAATAGGACGAAATGAGCGTTGTTCGGGATTCCACTGCTAGTCGTCTCTCAGTATCCACGAAATGTCAAAGAACAAGGTTGAAAGAACTGCTATTGCTACATACAACAGAATGTCTTTCTGTATGTATGGATTCAACATAGAACTTGGCACCAAAGTGCAGCAGCTCGAGTTGCCACGTTCCAAATAGCACACAAACGTAGACAAGAAGATGAGTGAAGAAAATCAATAGAGTTTCGACAAGTATAAGAGTGAAACAGAATGAGTAATGGTAGAAAGGAATATGAAAGATTACAGAGACTGAATACATCTGCGCTAGCCATTGACAACGATTTTGAGCCATGTCAACTACTGTCTCCAGCCATTGATTCTTACAGTCCCGAGGGCGGGCCCCAACCCGGAAGTCTGCATCTCCCTAACTAACTCAGTTAAACTGTCAGGGATTTCATGGATTGACTGGTGCCATGTTTTTGTTTGGCCACCACTTACTCTTTTCCAACCTGCACCTATATCAGCTAGTAATGCCCGTCCGTTGGGGGAGGCGATGGCTAGGCATGAGCAGCACGTGGCCTAACCATCTCAATCTATGTAACTTCATAGCCTCTTCGATTGATTTTCCCTCTTTGCCCAACATTATACGCCTAACGTCAACATTACTTGCCTTATTATACCACCTAACGCGAGAAAGAGATCGTAAACATCTGTGGTCAAAGACAAACAATCTCTTCATGTATTCCGCTCTCAATGGCCACGTCTCACCGCCATAGAGAAGGACGGAGCGAACTGCTGAGCAGTATACACGTCCCTTGGTTGATAGCCGGATGTCACGCCGACGCCAGAGCCGGTGTAAGTTAGCGAAAGCAGCTCGAGCTTTTTGGATCCGTGCTGAGATTTCATGACCAATCAATCCGTTGGTGCTGATACAACTTCCCAAATAGGTGAAGTGGTCAACATGTTCTATCACTTCACTCCCTATCACTAAGCTAGGAGTTGACGTAGTCCAGTCCTGTAGCAGCATCTTACATTTTACAGGGGCGAATCGCATGCTGCTCAAGGTGTTCAGAAGACTCTGCATTTTGTCAGCATCCTCCCCTAACAGGACTATGTCATCTGCATATTCTACAACAGAATGAACATAGCATAAATAAAAACACCCATGTAGACGCCTCGTGAAGAAACAGTACATGATATAAATACGTTTCTACATACACACACAAAAGCACATGATTACTTACTTTTGCTATCCGTATAAAATGTGACATTATTTCTGTTCGTTTCGATAAATTTTTCTCGTTCAGGATATCTTTTTGAACCCAGAATATGATCTTAAATATACAAAGTAGACAGAAAAAGGAAAAAAATAATAGAAGCAGATATAAGTAGATAGCTAAATAGATATTTTGTGCATCGGTGGTAGAATACTCATCAACTAAGTAACACGCGGTCCGGAGTTCGATCCCTGGCCACCAATGCCGGTAATGGGCCCAGTGAAGAGCGAAAGTTAGGCATGAGGCTAACCACCACACACCACTACTACCGAAACTTCAAAACTCTAGCTTGTTTATTAATTATTACTACGGGAATGTGAAATAATTAACTTCCAAAAAGGTTAACATAAAATAAACTTGTACACAATAACTGGTAATCAAAGCATTTTATTGTAATTATTCAAAAAACATAAACTGAATATGCATCACATGAACACTGAAAAGTGTACCATACACACACACATACACAAACACAAAGTGAGATAACGGAAATATTTAGAAAGGAGGGAGAAATAAACTGTAACAGTTGCCACGTAACAAACCAGAAAATAATAAGAGTATTCTTCTTCTAGGCATAAATTTTGTAGACTTTCGATTCTGGTTCTCACTTTGTCTGGTGGGATTGAAGCTCGTGGATGTAGGTATTCACTTTCCAGGCATCGAATGTTGAAAAATAATACGATGGTCTTGATATCTTGCTACAGGTTGCGAAAGTCGCGAGTTTATTGATTAGTCTTCGAATAGGGAAACTATAAGTCATATTGTGGTGAGAGATGGTTGCTAGCCAAATTGGTTGACAGTAATTGAGGTCAAGGTCAAGATGGACAGGCGGATACAGTTAACATATAGATGAACTGACACAGCCACAAGAGATGCGAGGTTAACTTTGTGTGAGAAACAACCAATCAACAGACTGTATTTTCTACTAACATTAACCTACAATAATGTACATCAAAATCTATAAATACGTGTTGATTTTCCGTAATCAACATTCTGTTGCCTGGCCCTTGTCTTCTGTTGTTGCAATATTATCATATGTGCAGAACGTAGGCATTGTGGTAATATGTAATTCCATATTAATGTGTTTATTAGATATATCGCAGTTTTTTTTTATTCCTTCAAATTCTTAGTGGAAGTTTCGGTAGCAATGGTGTTTATTATTTTTACAAGATAGGATTGCTAGCCTCATGCCCAGCCTTATCACTGGCTTAGCGAGGTAAAGGAGTGCATCGGCCAGGGATCGAACCCCGGACCAAATGCTTGGTCGGCGAACATTCTACCGCTGCGCCACCGACGCACACAGTGAAACAGTATTATTATTTACTGGATGACTTAGTTGCAAATACAATTTATTATTGTTTATAATCATATCATCAATTATGACTACACAACTTCGAAACTTTTATTTGACAGCATTCTTTATTCTCTCCTTCTCGTTATAGGATTAGTCATCTTATCCCATCATAATACCCTGTTATGATTGTTAGCTCAAATACATAGGCCAAAGTAGTAAAATGGGGTCAGTCAGACCAGCAGAGCACAAAAACCTAGCAAAATTAAGACTTGTTGATCTTAATTAGATAAGAAATCTGAAGAACAGTTCACCTATACAACTCGCTATGTGCAGTTACACACAGCATCATACAACAGGATAAAATGGGATAAGATGACAGTTCTAAAATCTGATCTAACAGGGTAGAGAGAGAGACAGAGAGATTGATAATGGAAGCTTTAATTTATCGAATTAACTGCAAATACGTGAAACAGGAATGATTCAACAACTCTCCTGTCGGAAATCTGGAAAATGCTACTCTTCCTACGACAATGGATACGCGAGAATAAAGAAAATTATAAAACGAAAGTTGTCTAGTTACACCTTGATGATATTGATTATGAACAATAATAAATTGTGTTTGGAACTTTGTCATCCAGTAAATAATAATAATACTGTTTCACTGACTGTGTGATATATCCATCTAATAAACAAATTAATATGGAAAAAAAGGATTTTGTCTAAGCATCTACCATTAATTATAAGCATAAAATTTGCGTACCCTTGGTAAAAGGAGTGGGAGAATAATTTTATTATTTCACAAATAGCACACAGTGATACCATAATGGACAGAGAAGTAACACGATTGTTTCATTAATTAAATAATTAATTAATTAAATATCCCCCATAAAATTCGTTATGAAGTACAAGAAAATTCAATATAAAAAATAAGAAATGGTTACGAAATTATTGACCATAAACAGAAATAAAAAGGAATTTAAAGCATTCCTCCACAGACAATGTTGAGAAATAACAAAAAGGACAATTTGAAATCCTACACAGAAAACTTAACAGAGTAACAATTAGAATGGCACATTTAAGCCTACTATCTCATCACTCAGGTAGAACAAGCTTCCCCGTAGGCTAAAGGATTCTAATTAAACAAAATGCCTTCCTCCAATGACTGTGAGATCAACTAATAATATCTTTAGCTTGGACTGCATATATAAAATGTGGAGAATTTTCAGAGGAGTTTATTGCACCATACTTTCCTTGCGTACAATATCTTCAAGTAAAATAAATATCAATTGACAGTATATTCTGTGACGCAATGTGGTCTCTGAGCTGAAGCACAAACCATTCCATTACGATTATATATCCGCTTTGTCTCCTTCAAGAAATCCACAACATCTAGTTGAAAGTCAATTGTAAGATGTTCAGAGAATCAAGGACATAACTGAAGAACTATCATCTCATGTATTGGAACAAGTTGCCACCCCCACAATCAGGTATTTCCTCAAGTACCGCCGAAGCGAGTACATGAAAAGATTAGCTGGGTTCGATCATAAGTGTCTGCGTTCTATCTCCCGTGTGAACTGGTATAATAAGGTGAACAATATTGAGGTTAGGCGTCGAGTGCTAGGTAAGGCGGGGAAATCAATCGACGAAACTGTGAAATTACATCGACTGAGATGGTTAGGACATGTGCTACGTATGCCTAGTCATCGCCTTCCTCGACGGGCAATGTTAGCTGATATAGGGCCAGGCTGGAAAAGAGCTAGCGGTGGTCAAACGAAAACATGGCACCAGTCAATGAAATCCACAACAGTCAGTCTAAGCCACGTAGGAAGATGTAGACTTCCTGGTTAGGGTCCTCGGGACGGTAAAAACCAATGGTTGGAAACAATTGGTGACATGGCTCAAAATCGTTCTCAGTGGCTAGCGCAGATGCATCCACTCCTTGTGACTTATGATTTCCAATTAAACTGTTTTGTTCTCCGTTATTACTATTCCTTTGTCTCACACCTCTGTTTACTGTCTATATTATGCATTTCTCTTACTTTCTTCTCTTGCTTTGTGTGCTACATGGAGTGTGGCGACTTGAACTGCCGCGCATATGTGCAAAGTTCTATGTCGAAAACCGACCGACCGACCGATTTCCTCAAGTTTAGTAGGAAGTTGAGAAACAGAAGCTTGTAAACATTTTCGAAATACACACAAGAGTAGATAGATAGATACCATTATAGGTCATATCTTAATCGATGAAAACAAACCGAATGAGAGAAAATATATGCAATAATAAAGAGATGGAAGTTTTTGACAGCCCAAGTTTTATCCAGGCCGTTAGAAGCAGTAAACCAGTCAGATGATCACAGGAACATAGTATAGCAGCATTGATTAACAAACAACCCAGAGAAAAACTAAGCTACTTACTCAATGCATACACACTAACACACACATACACACAGACAATAACACAAGAAAGAGGGATTAACCAGAAAACACTTCCCCATTTGGGAATGATGCAATATGCATTACCAGAAATATAGAAAATATTGATACCATTTATATAAAATTATAAGAACTAGTATAATTAATTAATTAATTCAACAAAATCTGAAAGTTATGCATGTGAGCACTATGACATGATTATGAGTCATCATCAATTCAATATCCAATATCTTTTTACGAGCTAGTATAAACCAATTTGATTTCTTTGCGCTCGCCTCTTGATTGTAAGGTAGAGGTTCCTGATCTTTGGTAAACGTCTGTGTAGCTCGTCCCGCCACTCGACTGTCGTAGCTTTGGTTGACTCCAACAGGAGTAGTGCTGGGATTAATTATATGGCGTCTGTAGTATGAAGTGTGTTAAGACTGTTACTACTGTGAATGGAGTTGATCCTTTCACCAGTTAGTCTTTCGGTATCGTCGTCAATGGAAAAGAGATAATAATAATAATAATAATAATAGATATAATTAGTAAAGGTATTCAGACTAACAGACAGAGAAAAAAAAAATAAGAAAACGTAACAACAGTCAGTCAACCGGTATACATATATATATATATATATATATATATATAATATATACCAGTAATAATGATAATAATAATAATAACAATAATAATAATAAGTGTAGTTAAAGCTGTCAGGAGAGTAAGACTGAAGGGAATGTGAAGAAGTAAAACGACCAGTTTAATTGTCTATCTTTGAATGGTATATGCGATTTTAAGGGGATAGGCCATTTGGATACAGTCCTTGTGTCACTGCAAGGTTGTCCAGCCTTCGCTTAAAGGCGTCCACAGATGGTGCCATAGCTACATCTGCCGGTAAGGAATTCCAGGGACGGCAAACCCGCAGGGAAAAGAAGTGGGAGCGCACCCGGGTCCTTGCCCTCTGATGAGCTATCCTTCTGGGATTTCCACGAGGGAGCCTATACCTACTCAATGGCAGAACACCTTTGTTCGGGTGATTCTGATCATTTGTTATTTTGTAGGCAGTGATTAAATCCCCCCTCAGGCGACGGTAACTGAGTGTGAATAGGCCTAATTTCTTCAGCCTTTCGTCATATGGTTTATTTCGGAGTCCAACCACTCCTTTTGTTGCCCGTCGTTGGGCTCTTTCCAAGAGGTTGGCGTCTCTTTTAAGCAGTGGGGGTGCAATGATATTATGCACTTCAAGATGCGGTCTGACGTATGTTTTATACAACCTTAGAAAGAGCTCAGGAGTGAGTGCACCTAATTGTCTATGTGTAAAGTGTATGACCGCATATGCCCTCGCTACATC